AAATATAAATTTTCATTTATATTTTTTCTATCTTTGTAGTCCTAACTGTCAGATGTGTGGAATTATTTCAAAAAAGTAGAAAAATAAAAAGTCCGTTGTATTTACTGCAATAAAATGCTTACTTGCAAAGGATCAAGCACAAGCAGTCTACATAATAATTTGAAAACAGTGCACGATAAAATAACCGAAAAAAAATAATCTGATGTCGGCCCGAGTTCACAAACAAGTACACAACCCTGTATTCTTAACTTTGTGAAAAGGACTAGTTTAGAAGAAATTATATCAAAGCTTGCTGCATTGGATGGACTATCTATTAATTGCATAACAACTAGCTCGTTCATACGAGAGCCATTGCAACAACAAAATGATTGCTTACCACAAAATAATTCTAGAGTTATAAATCTTATTTATAAGTTTTATGAAACTATAAATGAATTAAATTGTATGAAGAATAAAGGGCAAATTTTTTTTTAAACTATAGATGAATGGACTAGTAAAGGAAATCGAAGATATTGAAACATCAACTTGAAAAAGATTTTAATTTAGGATTTAGCTCCGATATCAAGTACTTGCGATGCTAAAACAATGTTAAAACTCATTTCTGAGAAACTAAAAACGTAAGCTTAAAGTTTTAGGTCCGATAAAATTAGCAGCCGGAGCTTTAGGTAGACAAGACTCAAATTTATTAACATGTGAAGGTATATTTGAACTCTTTCTGGGTGAAGTACAAAATTTGAAATCCGGAATTAGTCAGAAATTATTACACGATATAAAGGCACGGATTAAAGAAAGAATAGATACAGTATTCGTTACACTTATTCTTTATTTACAAAATTCTGAAACTGTTTTAACGAAATCTTCTAATAAATTCCTCCCATTAGCAACGAAAAGTGGCATTATTAAGTTATCCGGACAAATATTATCAAGATTATATAAAGATTACTCTACAGGGGAAGAATGTGATATTCAAAAACGTGATGAAAGCGATATTTAAGAGCCAGACAATGTTTTATTGAAAAATGCTATGGAAGTGGCAATCAATGAATATTTAAAGGAACCGGACAAAGTTACTACCTCTACTCAAACTCTAAGAAAAGAGTTTTTGACCCTGGAAGCCACAAATAAAAGGACAAAAAAATTAGAATTATTATATCAGGCTTTAAAAACGATTAAGCCTAGTTCCGATGCAAGTGAGAGGGTATTTTCTATTTCGGGGACGTTTGTGAATAAACTTAATAAGGACACGGCTGAATAGCAAATCGATAGACATCCTCCGTTTTCTGAAATCATATTTCATTAAACAAAAAAATAAATAGAATATTTAAATTTGTATTAAAATTGCCCGGAATAGAAAATACTCGGTGCTTTGCTTAATTGTCTTTAAAACTAAAATTGATTTTATTAAGTATGTAAGCAGAAACTTTATTTACTGTTGTCTTTCGGCTTTGATTATAATTTA